ATAACCCCAGCACAGGTTTTTTATGGAAAAAGAGCATGAACTTTGGAGATACAGTTTTGAGTTCAAATCCTATTCTGCCATTTTCAGTATGACCTTGGAATATCATTCAATTTCTTGAACCTCAAGTTCCTTTATTTATGAAATGGGAATAACACCATACTTCACAGAGTTGTGAGGACAGAAGGAAATAAATCATGTAAAGTACCTGGCCTGGGCCTGGCACACAGTAGGTGCTCAATACCCGTTAGTTTCTTTCCTCTTCTGCCCTGGAAGAAATGACAGGGAAACTTACTAAGTGAGACTTGCCCAAACCAAATTTGTTATTTGAAGCACAGGACAGAGGACCACACAAGTGACCTTCAAGGCCTCTCTGAACCCCCAAGTCCATTTTATATAACATGGCTCTAATTTCCTAAAAAGAACCGTCAAGTATTTGCAATTTTTTTGGCCCCTTCTTTTTGCCTTAAGTCTCCCCACATCACTTTTTCAGAGCAGAGACATCTACTCATTTCAGACTGAAGGGGGAAATAAATAAGGAAGCCAAGAGTCTCAGGGAGGGAATAAAGGGAAGATATGGGAATAAAGGCCTATGGGATTTCAGTATGTTCCTCTCACTACTCAGCTAGGAGCCACCTAGAATTTGAAGGATAGGGGAGGCATCATGGGTACAAAATGAAGGGCACAAACTCAGGACCTTCCTGGAACACAAGTATGCCTTTCCTCAGTCCTTTTCTACTTCTGCACATCTTGCCATGAAAGACCATTAAACATCCCTCTCCCCAAATACATAATATGTTATCCTTTCAAGCCCTGCTGGTCTGCCTCTTTCTTCTCTTCTCTTGCTCAGTTGGGATGTCACATCCTCCCAAATCCACAAGCAGGATGAACTGGGCTTTGCTCTGGAATGTTCTATGTTTTTCACATCTTTCTAGAACAGAGATGATCATATATGTTCTAGTATTGAAACCTGTCTTTGCCACAGTACTTTGAGCTCCCAAGGGCAGAGCCTGTGTCCCAGGAGTCACTGTATTCCAACTATTTAGCAGAGGCCACAGCACATAGTAGGCATGGGTAAGCATTTTGATATATAATAGAAGATTAGCAGTTTAATATTATAAGGCAACAACTTGAGAAGCAGGGGCAAGGGGAAGGCTTTCTCCCTCCCCCTCCCCCTTTTCTTTTTCTGGTTTGGCTCAAACCCAGGGCCTCACACAGGCCACACAAGCACTCATCACTGAGCTGTATCCCCAGTCAACAACACCCCCCCACCTTTTTTTTTTTTAAACTAAAAGTGTTTCTATTCCTGCTATGGAAAACCTCTTCCATGAGTAGCCCCATTCTTTGAACCAAACCTTAGACCTCAATTCAGCAGTTCCCAGATCCAGCCACATTCAGTCACCTGGGGCAATCCAATAACAATGGATTCTTGGGCTCCAGACCTGGAGACTCTGGTCTATAGATCTGGGATAGTGTCCAGCAACGCACAGGAGATCTGATGATTAGTTAGGCTGGGATGAGAGCTGTGGACTCAAGCAATCACAGCTGCCTCTCCCACTGAGTTTACATCCTCACATGCCATCAGAGAGAATTTACCAAGGCACATCACATTCACCTTCCTACTTAAAATTTTTCACTGATTCCTCACTGCCCAAACTGCTTGGTGTGGTGGAACAAGAGCCCTGCTATTGTCTGCAGTCTGATCTCTTCCTGCTCTTTAAATGAGTCTGGCTCCTTGTATATGCTGTTTCTTTCTTTAGACCCTTTTCTCCCACTCTACTTTCTAAAGAACTTTTGCTCAACCTTGAAGACTAGGCTCTGGGAAGCCTTCTGTGACCCCGCCTTCTCTGTTACAGTAACTTGGGCATCCTCAGTACCAAGAATCTACAATAATTATAGCTACCACTTGTGCTAAGTGCTTGACAGGTGGTATTTGTAGGCCTTAACATTAACCCTGTGAGCCTGGACTCACTGCACTTTATACATGAGAAAACAAACCAAGAGGCCCAAACACTTCTAAAGACCACTTATGTGAGTGTAGGATTTGAACCTATACACAGAAAGCAGATGCTATGCCTTCTTCTAATATCATTGCAATTGTTACCATATACACATTCTCTATACCAGGAGCTTCTTGTGGCAGGAAGTGTCTCATTCACTTCTGTCTTTACAGCTAGTCCAGGACATTTCAGTATAAATGAATGCCAGGCAAGAGGACAACTAGGCATTACAGCATGTGTGCCATTGCTGGCCTAACTGAATGTCTGCTGACCCCTTGGGAGAGGTGGTTAGTAAGAACAAAGTGGTAGAAAACTTAATTATAATTTAGTTTAATAGCCATGTATTAAGCACATAAAGACCACACATAATACACATCCCAAAGATGACTTAAAACACTCCTTGCTCTCAAAAATTCTAGGTACAGTAAGCAAAGGTGTTAGGGTCTTAATATGCTATCAGACATTAGGCTTATAGTTCTGGGACATTTTAACGAAATTAAAAATTTAAAACCCTGAGTGGATAAGTTTTCATCTTCAAAGGCTGTTGACATATTTATATAGTGTGTCTCTCCTGGCTTACAAAGAACCATAGGTGTCAGGCCACCCCCTCAGTATCACTGCCTTCTCCCTGGCCATGGAAGTAGTGTAGGCTGGGCTAGCAGGGAAGGTCCCTGATGGGAAGGGCTATCTGGTCCCTCTGTGTACCCCAAACAAAGACCCTGGTACAGAGCTCATTTTGAAGCTTGCTGAGTAAGTTAAAAATAAAATAGTTTTACTAAAGATGCTGACTGATCTTCTGCTCTAGTTCCTTAAGGGAGATTTATTCTGAGCAGTGAGAGAACCAGGTCTCTAGAGTCCCTTTAAACTAAACTGGGCAGTCCCACGGGACACTATCTCGATGAAAGGTGAGGGGAATAGGAGACAGAGAAGGGTCGGATGAGCTCATCCATCCCCTTTACATTCTGGCAAGTCTTCTGGGGGCTGAGTGCACACCTGCATTACCAGTTGAGTGGTCTGAGAGACTAAAGACAGCTTAATAGAGCTAGCAGGTGAAGACACTTGTTTGTCTGGTCATGGAGCACGGCTCCTGTCACCTCAGTGCAAGGTGCTAGCAGGTTGCTTCACATTCTCTTGTGAGGTTGTTGATGACACTCAAATAGAAGAAACAGGCTCAGAGTCAAAGCAGGAGCAGCACTGGGAGTTCAACTTAACTCAGTAGATACTGTTTCCCATCACCTCCTTTGAATGCTTTCCAGTTGTTTTGTGTATGTTTTCCCTTTGTTGATAAAGCAGTATCTGCTTCAGTCTTCTCTTGAAGTAAAAGAGGGTTGGGGTTCTTGGAGAACAGAGCAGGCTTAGTGGCATGGAACTGGAAGGACTTTTAGAATCCCAATTAACCTTGTGATCCTGCATTTAAATGTGTACAGGTAATGCAAATGAGTGAAGGGGCCTTTAATCAGAGAGGCTTAAGGAGCACACACTACCTAAATGTGGCAGCTGCTACTCAGAGACTACAAACTACGTTGTGGCGATGTGGGCCTAATGTCATCCAATCTTTAGGGTTTTAAGAAACACAAGTCCAGATTTGTGGGAAACCTTTTGATTTTTAAAATACTGGCTCACATTAAGAAAAAAACAGAAAGAAAACAATGTGTGAATTGGGATCTTAGAAGTCTGTAGAGTGGAAGTGGTCTTATTTACTTCCCTTGTATGCAGGTTGACATATTACATTAATTTCACCCTCCTTATCCACTCTATGTCCATAAGACAGGATTGATTTGGGATGGGAGCCAGAGATCCTCACCAAAGGTATGCCAGTGGGTAGAGCAATGAATAGTCTCTACTGTCACCAGGTACTTTTCATGGGGGCACAAAAGCCTACTTCTTGAATCCAGACTCCACACCCAACAAAAAAGTGGGGCATAGTCAGAACAGTTTGTGTGTTTCACAAATGTGGCTGTTAAAAATTCCCCAAAGTATATAAAAGTGACCTTTTCTTCCACCCTTTGATATCAATAGTTGGAATCATAGGGGCAAATATTTAATTGCTATGGGTTTGTTTCTTCATTTGAAAAACAGGGTAATAGCATTTATGTCCTTCAGTTGGTTCATTAATATTTGTTAATCACCAGACACAAGGGTATGATGGTGACTGACATGGTTCTTGCCCTCTCAGAGTTTATATATAAAAGCACACGAAGAGTTATATCAATAGTTAACTCATCATATTTGTGCTGGATGCTGAAGAGAAATACAGGAGAGGTAGGAAGATTAGAAGTAAGGCATGTCGAGTGCCTGGCATGAATAAATGAATTGGTAGGTTGAGCAGTAGATAAGAACACGGTAGATGTCAGGGGAGTTAATGAAGGTTATATCCAAGTTGTGTCCTCAATAAAACTAAATACACATCTATGTGGTGAGTACTTTAGAGTACTGTGTGGTCCAAATGGGAGGGAGAGAGGACAAATAAATGACAGCTCTGTGGCTCTCCCTTCTCCTACTCTCCCTTTTGGATAATAGCACTCCCAAAGGGGACCTGAGTGGGTCTGTGGTGGGGGGCCAACTTAAGAGTCTCCTTTGGAACCACTGTCAGCCCAGTGTAGGAGGTAGGAGTGAAGCTGGGGCTTCTGACACTCAATAAGGGATTCTGTTTTCATTAATTAAAAGCTTTCTCACTGTAATGTGAAACACAAAGGAAACCAGAGCCAAAACTGGGTTACAATAAGCACAGGTTCTGGGCTGATTCGTTCCCTCTCTCATTCACCTAGTTAGTTCTACTGTGTTGGCAAGGCCAGGATTGGAGGATCAGACAGATGACTAGTCTGGGTCCTCGTAGTTCACAGTTCAGTGCAAGAGAAGAGACACAACACAAGGTTTCATCACAGAACAGAGAGTGCTACCATAGGGAAGCATAAAGGGCTATGGGCACACACACCTGGTGCAACTGGGGAGGTGAGGGAAGACTTTCTGGGAATGGTTACCCCAAATGGCATCCCCACTCACATGCACAATTCCAGAGATTCTACTAGAAGGCTGTCAAGAGCCATGCCTTCAGGCTGCACCAGCCTCCCAGAGTCCCCTGCTGCCCGATGCAGTGTCTGCAGAACCAAACGCATCTTCCGCCACGCCTCATCCTCATCCGGCGCTGCATCCGACCCTCCAAGACTCCTGCAGGGGCCTGCTTTCCTCGGCAGGCTCAGCCAAAAAACCAACTCAAAACTCTTTTGTCAGAGCAAGCTTAGGGTGAAGCCACCCAGCCCCGGGTGCCACAACCCTCCCAGAGCAACTGTGGCCCACGCCTCCCCGCTTTCTCAGTCAACACTGGCAGGGTACCTCCTATTATCTCCTTTGCTCAAAAGAAAGCGACCTTTTCCAGGTGGCAAGCTGGAAGCTTTCAGGAACCCTCCTACTACTGCTCACTGTGCTCAGCAGGATTCGCCAAACCAGGGATCTGGGGTGGTGGTCGGGGGAACGCCTTGTGGGACAACAGGGATATAGGGGGAGAAAGGGCAAGTTTTGCTGGGTATCCACCCTAGTGGGGAGTTCTAGCCTGGCTGTCGGCTCCAACTGTCTGCTGGACAGGGGGAGAAGAGGAAGATCCCAGAAGTCAGATGCCGGGGCACAGCTGCTGGGGGCAGTGGCTGAAGGCAGTGCAGCAGCAGGAGGGGAGCTGCTCCCTGAAGGTGTGTGTGTGGGGGTCAGAGCCCCGATGTGGGTAGTAGGTGGAGAAGCAGGTGGGTGCAGAGGGAGGTGGATGGCAGAGAGCTGAGCCATGGTCCCAGACCCGGTGTGATCGTGCGGTCAGAACGTTTAGCATCGGCTCCAGTCCGGAGCCGGCGGGGAGAGGGAGAGGGGCCGCCTGCAGCCTGGTGGTAGGAGGGCCGGCCAAGCCTCGGTTTGCGAGAGGTGTCCTGCCTCAGTCGGGGACTCGGGGAGGGGTCCGGGGGGGAGGGGTGCTCCGATCCCTGTCCAACCCCGCCCCGCTCCCTGCTCCCGCTCCAAGGAGGAGAAAGCACTAGAGCAGCCGAAGTCGCCTCGCTTGCCCCTACCTGCGAGCCGAGTGCCAGCTTGGGCTCGTCCTCTTCCCTGGGATCGTCGCGGTCGGGCTCCACCGGCGCCTCCCGGGGCTCTGCACCCGCTCCCGCTTCCAGGGTCGGCGGCGGCTGGGGCTCGGGCGCCTGGGGCTTCTGTAGCCCCGCAGCCCGTGCCCGCTCGCGCCGGCCCGCGCCGCCGCTCGGCCTGCTCCGCCTCCGAGTCATGCTGCCGCTCGCGCCGTTCCCTAGCTCCTCTCGCGCCGCCGCCGCCGCCGCCGCCGCCACCGCAGCCGCCGCCGCCGCTCCCCTCACAGGACAACAGCCAATATGGCGGCGCCCGGCACCCCCCTCCGCCCGTTGCCAGCAGGTCAGAGGGCACGCGGAGTCCGCGCCGCCGCACTAGCCTCGGAAGCTGCCCGCGCCATTTTTAATATGGTCACTGCCCGGAGTTCCGTGGGAGAATAACCCCGAGAGGAGACGCCCTCCCCTGGGCTCTCGGGTCGAAAGGATTGCGACCTCCAGGAGAAACTTGTGTAATGCTGTGGTAGCGGGCCTAGGAGCTTCATAATTGCCTATTAAATGGATAAATGAAGAATTTTTGCTACTGTGCTGTCACACTCATCGCCCAACTCCTCCCAGCCGCACCTAGAGGCAGGTACTGACCATTCTCATTTTGCAATGCACAATCATCAAGGCTATAAAAGGCCTATGAAGGTTGCTGGACATCAGCCAGCCAGAGTTCATGGGCTCTGGGTAGCCTGAGCTGAAAGGCACCAAGAGCTGGTCTGAGTCTGGACCTCAGGACCCGCACCAGATCCTTCTCCCCCGAGCCTGGTGGACACAAATACATGATGAAAACCAGTGTGATGGAGATAACTGGGCCATGTGATAGGTCAGTGTTTCAAAAAAAAAAAAAAAAAAAAGTAGTATGTGCAGGAGAGGATCTTGAGGGGTGCATAAAGAAGCATTTAAAAAAATTAAGTTGTACATTGGTTAAAGTGGGAATTAACCCCCTCCTTTTTTGTGAATACATAATACATACACGTGGTACAATTTTTTTTTTTTTTTTTAGTTTCTTGTGCTGTATGTCTCAAGCCTTGTCCAGCAATACTTGGAAATGTTGTGATAGTCACATGTCACTAATAGGGACAGAATCCTGACACTGACTTCCTGAAGAACTGAATGGAAGGCTCTAGAACCTTAGCTAACAAGACTATAAATCAAAAATAGTTTTTCAGTTTCCCACAGTGATTAGTACCAAAGACTTAAAGGATACAGGTGCTTCCAATCATATCATCATTGCTTCTTCAGTTTGGCCCAAATAGAAGACAGGTGACCTTAAAGAATGACAGAGTAGGGGTTGGGGGATTAGCTCAGTAATAGGATACTTTCCTAGTATGCAGGAGGCCCTGGGTTCAATTCAATCCCTGTTACTAACAACAACAACAATAAAAAAACAGCATATGATAAACTTGTTCTGGTAAGGACTCCATTATAGGGTTTCTTCCAGATGTGGTCCTTCTTGGAGCAGACTGACACAGTTGTTGACTTGTGTAATGGTAAACTAGAGGTCTAATGTATACAGTAATCCCCTTTATCCTTGAGGGATATGTTCCAAGACCTCTGGAGGATGCCTGGAACCATGGATGGTACCTAACCTCTTCTCCCCCACCATGCATATATACATTTTTTCCTATACATAAATACTTAAGATAAAATTTAAGCTATAAATTAGGAAAACCAAGAGAGTAACAGCAATAACTAATAATAGTACTATTACAATAATATACTGTAATAAAATTGCCAGCATCACTACTCCTGTGCGTTGGGGCCACTATTAAGTAAAATAAGGGTTACTTGAACTATGAGTACTGCGGTATCATGACAGTCAATCTGATAACCAAGATGGCTACTAGGTGACTAACAGGCCCCCAGTGTACACAGCATGAATATGCTGGACAAAGGGATGACTCACATCCTGGGCAAGACACAGCAGGATGGTGCCAGATTTCTTCATGCTACTCAGAACAGGCCATGATTTAAAATTTATTTAAAATTTATTTATTTCTGGACCACAGTTGACCTCAGGTAACTGAAACTGTAGAAAGTAGAACCATGCATACAATGTTCGGGTCCATTTCTCCCCCAATAAATAAAATAAAAAAGAAAAAAGAAAGTAGAACCATTGATAAGGGAGACTACTGTACCAGATGTCTGCAGGAGTTTGCATTCATCTGGCAGAGGCACCAGTAATCCTTCACTGTCTTCCTTCTGGGCTATGACACTCTCAGACACACATGGTTTACAGTGATTTTTGACCAAATCACCATTCCAATGGCTATCAGGCTGATCTGCTATGCCATTGATGATGTCATCCTGCTGGGCCTTGAAAGCAGGCAGTAGTAGATATCCTAGATGACTTGGTGAGGTCTGATGTATGTACCAGTGAATGTATAATACATCCTATGAATACATAGAGGCCTATCTAATCAGTGAATCATAGTGGCTTGCGGTGTTGTATTGGTCTATTTTCTGTTAAATACCTGAGGCTGGATAACTTACAAAGAAAAAAGGATTTTTGTTTTTGTGTGTTTGTTTTTGCTCATAGTTCTGGATGTTCAAGGCCACAGTACCAGCATCAGTTTGGGTCTGGTGAAGGCCTTATGGTGGATGGTAGGCACCACAATGGTGGGAGTGCATGCAAGATGGCAAGATCACATGGCCACACAGGAAGCCAGAGCATTGGGACAGGACAGTCTTACAACCTCCCTACCTCTTCAAGGTCCCATCACCTCTTAACAAACTGGGGACGCAGCTTCCAGCACACAAACCCTTGGGAGACACATTCAGACTATGGCAGTACGTTCAGATACTCCCTCCAAAGTCAAAGCCAAGCTGCTGTACATCACATTCCTACCACTGAGAAAGAGGTACAATACTTGGTAGACTTCTTCAGACTTGGGAGATAAGTAACACAGGTAGATACCGTATATTGATCTGGGACCCTTGCAAGCTACCAATATTAGTGAGGGGGCATATGAGAGAACAAGTTTCTTACTGGACCAGGCTGCAGGATAAATAGTTCTAGCTTTGGCCTTTATTCTCTGACATTGAATTTTGGAACAAAGTTATGCCTTCATTCAGCAAATATTTGTTCTTCTTTTGAGGAATAGCTCTGGCCTTGCTCCAGGGATCTGGTGAAATTGGATGCCAAGTGATCACGTGACCTGAGCTTAGTGTTATCTGATCTACCCAGCTATAACATGGAGGGTGGGGGGGAGGGCAAGAACACTCCATCATCAAGAGGAAGTGACATATATGGCCTGAGTCCAAACAAGTCCTAAAGCACAGTAGGTTGCCTGAGCAAGTTCTTACACTCTTCTCCTGCCATTCTTCCCTTATTGATATTCATGGTCTCATGGAGTGTGATTTATGATGTGCTGCCTGAGGAAGAAAAATCTAAAGTCCAGTTTAAAGATGGTTTTGCATGGTATGCTGGCCAGAAGTGAATTGCTAGGGTGTTGCCATCTTCAGCAGAGAGGATCTAAGTGTGTAGGAAAAGGAAGTCTATGCAGAGACCCTTAAATAAAGACACATGGATTCTTGGACATTTGATAATGGTTTAGTCCATTGGTCAGAGACTTGGAAAGAAAAAGACTGAAGGCTTAGTGAAGTGAGAAAGACAGCTTAGAATAGCTTCAGAGCACAAGGTTGAGTTCCATATTGCCCCTTCTGTGGCTGTCAAGCTGTCTGCTTCCTCAGCAAACCCAAGGTTTGCTTTATGGGCTCATGAGGAAACTGGTCCGCCAGTATGGGTCAAGGCTGACCTAGCTACTGTCAGCCTCATGCTTGCTAAGCAGGTGCTCTTACTGCTTGAGCCACTCCACCAGCCCTAAAATCCCTTTTCTTTGTACATTCCTAGCCTCAGGTCTTTTGTTATAGTAATGGACAATAGCTTAATACAAAGACTCTTCCTCTTCCTGAATTCTGGAGTTGGGCCTCAGCCTAACAAGGAGTTTCTTCCTACTTTTTAAAACAGCCAATCAATTCTCCTTCAGTCTTCTTCCTGTAACCTTCAGAATGGACTTGCACGTTTGGGCAGTAGGGCTTGGAGCAGACTCTCCCCACTTCTGTGAAGAATGGGAGAGGATTTAGAGAAGAGAGTGAGAGATGGGGTTGGGTGTGAGGGATCTGAACCCCCAGGGTGAGATTTGGATCTTTAAGGGCCATGGAGCAGGGGCATAGAGGAAGAAAGAAACAGATGTCTAGGTGATGTGCCTTGGGGAGGTGAAATAAGCTACATTTTGCCCTGGCTTCTTCCAGGCCCCAGAGACCTAATTGTTACAGTAACTATTATGCCCTAGCTTTTGTGGTGCATTTTAAACAGGTTGTCTCTTTCTAGGCAGCAGCTATTAAATTGCTACTAGTTTGCTTTAATAAATTACTTTAATTGCTTCTGAACATTGGGGAACAGGGCAGGAACAATGGAACTTGTTCAAGAACCTATGAGGGAAGACCATCAGAGGAAGGGATAAAATGCAGCAGATCTTGCTGAAGAACTTAAGTTCCTCCTGAGTTTTGGGAAACATATTCCAATGGGAGGAGAGATTTTGTCTTTTTCCCAACAACCATCCAAGTCTTGTTGATTTTGCCTTTGAAATTTTTACTCTGGTCAGGATGAATCACTGTTCATAAATCTGTACGTGCAAGAAATACAAATTTGCTATAACTCAACTGAATTCCCGTTTTGAGCTCCCATTGTGCTAGAGTGGTAGAAATCTCCACTAATTTAGGCTTCTTCCTGGTTGTGTGTAAGGCCCAGGAGACTTATCTAGTAAAGTAGCCTCTGCTCCATCTGTCGTACCACTTTCCAAGGTTTCAGCTTGTTAAACCAAAACTCTTGAGACAGAGTCTTCTGAAATAAAAGGGTTTATTGAGCGTTACAGCTGCTAGCCTGAAAAAAGGACCAGGACCTGGAACAAGTTCCACAACTGCCAGCAGCAAGGCAAGACAGCAGTTGGAGATGTGGCCACTGTTCCTAAGAGTCAAGAGTATTTGTAACAAGATCTCGGAGAAAGGCATCAAAGTGGGGAAAGGTTTGGGATAGGAGGACAGTCTGTAAGGAGAAGTGT